AAACCGACTCTTTTATTGTCTAATCAATAAAAAGAGATAGTATTTTGAGTTTATTTCAAGATGTCTATATACGAGCTAAGAAGCTGGATGTATATGCGTAAAGATTCAGATGGGGCGTTGACAGAAGAGTTCAAGAACGGGTTAGAAATATTTATGTATCAGGCTACAAATATGGAGAGAACGAAAGATAGCGGGAAGATGTTTTGTCCTTGTTTGAAATGCAAGAATACGAGGTATACACTAACCAAAACCGTGTGGACGCATTTGTTAAATAGAGGGTTTATGCCGCAATATTTTGTTTGGTATCTACATGGAGAAGGATATGACAGTAATACTCATGGGAATGCTGGTAGTAGTAGTAATTATCAAAGTCCTGTTGATTTTGATTAATCGAATTATGGTCATTAGCTTAATCAGTATCAATCTGATCAAAGTCTAGATCATGATAGGATGCATGAGATGGTGACTGATGCATTTCATGAAACGCATACTGGTAATGCTGTTGAGGAACCTAATGTAGATGCCAAACGATTTTATGATTTGTTAGATAATGCTAATCAGCCAATCTACGAAGGATGTAGAGAAGGCCTGTCTAAATTATCGTTGGCAGCTAGGATGATGTCAATTAAAACAGATCATAACCTGGCTGAGGTTTGCATGGATGATTGGGCTGATCTTCTGAAAGAGTATCTACCGGAGGATAACTTGGCAGCGGCAACATACTATGAAATACAGAAGTTGATTTTTAGTCTTGGTCTACCTTCTGAGATGATATATATATGTGTTGACAATTGTATGATTATTTGGAAAGATGATGATCAGCTGGAGGAATGTCGATTTTGCCAAAAACCAAGATATAAGCCGCAAACTGGTGGGCGTAAAAGGATACCGTACCAACGTATGTGGTATCTCACTATAACTGATAGGTTAAAACGGCTTTATCAATCTGAAAGGACAGCTGCATCAATGAGATGGCATGCCAAACATACACAAGTAGATGGAGAAGTTGTTCATCCATCAGATGCAAAGGCATGGAAACACTTCAATATGGTATACCCAGATTTTGCTAAGTTCAAACGGAATGTCTATCTTGGTCTGTGCACTGATGGTTTTAGTCCATTTGGTATGTCTGGTAGACAATATTCATTATGCCCAGTAATCCTAACTCCTTATAACCTTCCTCCAGATTTGTGCATGCAAAGGAAATTTTTTTTCCTAAGTATTTTGGTTTCAGGTCCTAATCATCCGAAGCGAGCTCTCGATGTATTTCTGCAGCCGCTCATACATGAGTTGAATCAGTTATGGTATACCGGCGTTCGCACATATGACTGTTCTACGGGCAAAAATTTTACTATACGGACTGTGCTTATGTGGACAATAAGCGATTTCCCCGCTTATGGTATGCTATCCGGATGGACTACACATGGGAGGTTATCTTGTCCTTATTGTCTTCATCGAACTGATGCGTTTCAGCTGAAACATGGTAGAAAAAATTGTTGGTTTGATTGTCACCGGAGGTTTTTACCGGATAACTATCCATATCGGAGGAATAAGAGGTTATTTATGAAGAACAAAAGTGTACATGTCCCTCCAATCGTAAATTTAACAGGAGCTGATATACATGCGCAAATTGGGCATTGGGGGGCAGAGGAAACAGTAATGCATGGGGGAAATTGGCACACTCCTGCAAATATGCCTGAAGGTTATGGAGTTCATCATAATTGGCACAAGAAAAGTATCTTTTGGCAACTACCCTATTGGAAAGATCATCTGCTCAGACACAATCTTGATGTCATGCACATTGAAAAAAACTTTTTTGATAACATCATGCATACAGTTATGAACGTAGCAGGAAGAACAAAAGACAATGGTAAGTCAAGATTGGACTTGCCTGATTTATGCAACAGAAGTGAGTTGCACATACTGAGAAACGGGAAAGCACCAGTTCCTGTATTTCGGTTGAGTGCAGATCAAAAGTCAGCATTGTTCAAATGGGTTTCTTCTGATGTTAAATTTCCTGATGGGTATGTTTCTAATCTTTCTAAATCTGTTGAGAAGGGGGTAAAGTTTGCAGGGATGAAAAGTCATGACTGCCACATGTTTATGCAACGATTATTTCCATTTGCATTTGCTGAACTCTTGCCCAAAAATGTCCATGAAGCTGTTGGAGGCATTGGTGCTTTTTTCGGGATCTTAGTACACGAACATTATCAGTTGATGTAATATCACAACTGGCATCGAATATTCCAATCTTGTTGTGCAATTTGGAAAAGATCTTCCCACCATCATTTTTTGATGTAATGGAACATCTTCTTGTTCATCTCCCCCACGAAGCAGAGCTCGGTGGACCAGTTCAGTATAGGTAGATGAATCCGTTCGAGCGTTTCATGAAGCATCTTAAGGGTAAAGCCAAAAACCTAGCTAAAGTGGAAGGCTCAATTGTGGCGGGAAGCTTGACGCAAGAGACTTCGCACTTCACTTCGTACTATTTTGCACCGAAAGTACGAACACGCGAAAGAGCTACTCGTCGATATGATGATGGAGGAGTTGGCCAAACATATACAGTTGAGGGTGTACCTGACATGTTCTCGCCGATCGGACGTCTTAGTGGAAAACTAAAAGAAGTTTGGTGGTCGAATGAAAAAGATTATCACAGTGCACATACATATATCCTGCTAAATTGCAAAGAGTTATCGTCGTACGAAAGGTACTTTTTTAATTACAGAAGAATCATATATATATATCTGTCAGTCTTAATTAACTATTTGTTTTTTCTCAGCACATTTGTTGATGAGGTTAAAGAATGCATATCTGGGGTTTCTGAAACTGAAATCAATGATCGTAAAGATCAACACTATGCCCAGTGGTTAAAAGCGCAAGTACGTATAAAATTTTAATGAAAAGACTACTTTGATATATATCCAAATGATCCGGATGATTTTCCAACATTGTTCCATGCAAAATCAAGAAATTAAAGCAAGTTTTTTTGTTATTAGGTGGATCTGAATGATCCGGATGAATTTCCAACATGGTTCCATGAGTTACTACTAGGTCTGATGGAAAAAATAACTACAGCCTCCATGTATTTCACTCGGGGCTATGTTTTTCACACATACCGTCACGGTGCAAAGCGGGCGACAACTAACTATGGAGTTTGTGTGAGGGGGGAAATAGATTTTTATGGAGTTCTGCAGGAAATAATTGAAGTGGAAAATCCTGGATTGTTAAGGCTGAAAACTGTTCTCTTCAAATGTGATTGGTTTGATCCAACTGTTGGAAGAGGGGTACGTCTAAACAAGTTTGGAGTTGTTGACGTGAACAAATCACGACGGTACAACAGGTTTGAGCCATTTATATTAGCTTCTCAAGCAGAACAGGTAACATTTCTGCCATACACCCGAGTTCGATCAACAGGAATCTCATGGTTAGCAGTAGTTAAAGTGGCTCTGAGGGGCAAGATTGTAGGGATTAAGGATGTTCCACTGCAACAGGACACTTGTGTAGATCTGACTGAACCAGATGAACCTGGTATAGCTTCCATAGGTTTTGAAGACGCTGAGCCTACCATAAAAATGAGGAGGAGGCATAACCTTCCACTCCATTATTTTGTGTTCATGGAGGAGGCTTAACCTTTCACTCCATAAAATTTGATTAAAGAGGATGATTAAACTATCAGCTCCATAATTTTAAAATCACGGAAGAGGTTTAACCTTCTATTCCATAAATATATGATCAATAAGGAGCCATAACCTTCTACTCCAAAATATTAGTAAGGAGGAGATTTAATCTTCCACTCCACAAATATAGATACAGAGGAGGATTAATCTTCCACTCCATCATTTTCAAATCATGGAGGAGGTTTAAACCATCAACTCTGTAATTTTGTGATCATGGAGGTTTAACCTTCCACTCCATCATTTTGTAGCCATCGAGGAGGTTTAACCTTCAACTTTATACATAAATTTAAATGTATAAACATAAATTAAACAAGGAGGAGGTACAACCTACAATTCCATAAATAAATTTAAATGTAATAAATTAAACAAATAGGAGACATAACCTACCACTCCATAAATAAATTTAAATATATAAACATAAATTATATAAGGAGAAGACATAACCTACCACTCTATAAACATAAACAAGGAGTAGGTTTAACCTTAAGACTCCATAATTATGATCTGAGGAGACATAGTTTACCATATATCATTTGATCGTGAAGGCATAACCTACCATTTTATAAATATAAACAAGGAGTAGGTTTAACCTTCGACTCCATAATTATGATATGAGGAGACATAGTCTACCATATATCATATGATCGTGAAGGCATAGCATATCATAACAATCGGTTCGGTGAAGGCATAGGCCTATCATTTCGTAAACTTGAGAATAAATTGAAAATAAATTTAAATCATTGGTTCGGGGAAGGCAGAGCCTATCAACCCGAAATAATATGTAAACGGAGAAGACAAAGCTTACCTTTCCATTTCCATAAATAGTATATAAACTTTAGATCGACTAAACATAAATTAAACCTTACCTCCAAATATATGAGAATTAAGAATCGATCCTGCAAATATATGAGAATTTAGAATCGATCCTGCTGATAACGTGTTATAAATAAACACATATATTTATGTGTACATACATTTCCATATACTATCTCCATATATTATATATATGTGAAAGTAAGAATGAGTTGGGGAAGACGCAAAGAAATGAAGAGAAATAATTTTCATCTTATTCACATCTTCTCTAATGTTGCATCCTTATTTATACAATATAAAAATATATATAAAATAATGGTGAGTTGGTAAACATGTAAATCTTTAAGCATGTAAATTCTTAGGGGTAGGTACACCTTAGGGATAAATAAGGATGAGTTGATAACATGGATAATCATATCCATTTTCAACAGAATCTAATTATATTATATTATAACAGAATGGTAATCAAAATTAAGATTTAGTTTACACAAATAAACCCGAAATGTTCAATAAAACATAAAACAACTTTTCCATAGAGACAAAAGATGATGAAAACTTAAGGAATCATTGAAGACAAACATAAAACTGAATGTGAACCTGTTATTTCCTAAAATGTCTGTACATATTTTATCAAGTCACTTGGAGTGTATAATTTTCCAATGTTATTGGATAATGTAGCAACAAAACATTTCCTCTCTATACAATCTTCCGCCTACCTATCGCCTTCCATGATGTCCAGATGAGAGTACTACTGCTTAAACGCTCGCCGACCTGGAATGTAATAATCCACATAAGTGAAAAACTCAAATCATCGAAAAACATATCAAAGATCAAGAGACAAACTCCGCAAATCAAGGCATTATCAACTCAAAAACAAGTTACGTTAATTTACTAGATTACCAAAATATGCAATCGAGAAATGGTTAGTCTTAAATGATGAAACAGAAAACAAGTGTCTTTAGTTGTAACAAATGATAATAGAGAAGTACATCATACTTGTATTTCTGGTCATGCACCATCGATTCCTTTCAGGTTGAGATTTTTCCACACAAGGAGCAATCAAGGTATCCAATTTTACCAACCAGAGAGCAATCGCAGAAGTTGTTTGAGGCAGAGAAGGGAAGCTAGTTATAACTTCTCCCATTAAAGCACTAGAATTCTCTTCACCACTAAAGTGCCATAACCAATCTTCATTGATTGCCCCAACAAAGTCGCCAATCACCTTTAGATATTGCAGACTATGTTTTAGCATTAACATGCACTTAGAGAACAAGCAATATGAACGAAAATAAGGCGCCACAAGAAAAGGGAGCTTGTATAATAAAATGAAAACCTGCGTAATATCAGACAAAATTGAGCTTCGTCGAAGTCTTTTGGCCCATAGCCTATGGGCTGTCTTTTTCCATGCACCAATCAAGGCATCTTCAGGCATAGCAGACTGCAAAATGTTAGCCATTTCTTAATACAAACAAAGAAAGTACATAAATTAAAGCTCACAGAAAAAGATGAAGCAAGAGACTATTGACAGACCTCAATGGCATACACTGCAGCCTTTAATGATTGCAACTGGGAAGATAGAACTTTATGATCTGGAAATGTATCACTGGCTTCATTCTTCCTGCATGTGGCCGCATGAATCGCATATCTTTCTTCAAGATCTATATCAAGCTCAAATGTAGCATGGCAAATCTTACAGTGCTTCTCATCTCTCCAATACAAATCATGACAACTCTTACACCTAGTAAGTGAATCAAGGTAGGATCTTCGGCTGTGTTTTACAGCATTGAGATTCAAATAAAAATTAACCCATATCCATTCATCAAACTCCTGCAGAAGGCTCCATAATAGGCTTTTCTCCCGCTTACTTCCAATCTCAAATACTATTGCCGCATGTTGCGAGGAGAACTGATCACTGGCAATCTCATTCTGACATAGGTTGTTGTCTATATCAGAAACCGGTGAAGAACTATCCTCTCGTACTATATCTGTGAAATGCCCCGTCTCCAACTGGGTCACATGGCTACTCAACATAGCTTGACAAAGAAAACTTTCCCGTTTCTCCAATGACTCAATAAGTCGAGCTTCCCGTGTGCCCCTATCGTCCAAAACTGACAACAGGGTCCGCAAAGCCTACACCAAACAAAAAATAAGGACAATGTCGGGCACAGAATTATAAATCTCTTCAATAAAGGTTTCCATTTAACCAAGCTTAGTGAGCAGAGTGATTAAGATTTCAGGAAGAGAACAATGACATTACCTCCCTGCTGCTGATAACTTCCCAGTGACCATCTTCAGAAGATTCAAAGTACACACACCTGTGACCAGGGTCATTCGGATTGCACGGGCCTAAGAAAAGCCAGTACCTGTTGAACCTACGATCAGAACCAAGGTATACAGATTGCATAGGGTGGACATTTTTACGTTTATCTCCAGCCAACTTTGCAAAGGCCCCAACATTTGACGAAGAGTCAACTGGGTGCGAATCAGATGATTTAGATAGCTCTTTAGTTCCATGAAGCTCTCCTCCATGGACCCATGATAAGCGTTGATGGCTGTACTGATTAGAGGAGGATCTCTTGATTTTTCCACCAGAACCATGACTATAGATACTAGGGGGACAGTCAACCATAGCTCTCGGTAGATCCTGTGGTGCAAGATCAAAGTAAGAACTATGAACCAAGTATATATAGCAATAAACAAAACAAAAAAGTATCATTCGCTAAAGTTTCAGAGGAGAAAGGTGTCAACTTTTAAGTTCATATACAGAAACAATTTTTAGTCACGTAGCCGCACAAATCATATGGACCGAAAATCATTTTTCCAAGATTTTATTGGAGATGCAGGTTAGAAAGTTATTCAGCTCTTCAAGAGTTGGTAGTTTTAGGTTGTATGGGGATTACCTCCTTTCTGATTGTGGAACCTGAACTAAGAAGATCAATCAAAGCCACAATAACATCTAACTTCTCTTCAATGCTTAAGTCTGAATATTCCCCTTCCATTAGTCCCAACAGCCATGGTTCTCCAGGATGGCTTTCATCAATCTCACTACATACTTCCACCATTTTACTTTTATGCTTCCGCCTTTTACTATACTTAACTCGAAATGCAAGATTTTCTGAAACATGCTCGATTTCATCACCAGAACTAAATGCGCATTCATCAGATTTATCATCAACACTCCCAGACTCGTCCGAATCAGACTGGCTCTTGTCAGGGTCCTCAGAGAAACAATTAACACGTACGCGGTATGTCGAATCAGATATCTTCTCGAATAATGTAATATCACTTGCCAGAGTTGAAGATATTGAACGCTCTCGTTCTTCTGATGCAGTTGCAAGATTCAGCGCAGCAACCTACAAATGACCAATCATTATGAACTCATACACAAAATCCATCGCCATCAGCCTATTCCATAAGATATAATCTAGGATTTCAGCAAGCAGCAGAACAGTACAAGTTGACAACCTATCCATGTTAGTCTAAATTAATCAGTGTACTTACAAATAGAGCTGATAATAATTTTAAAAAAAACTTACCTCTGCTGCATTGGCTAACTCAGATATTTTCAAGCCATTATTGCCTTGCTCATTAAGCATTCTAAATAATTCACCCTTTAATGTTCCAAGACGAAGGCCGTACTTTTTCATGAGTCTCCTTTCCTGGAGGAAGAAGAAAGGTAACATTAACCAACAATGCATCAAAAAAGTAAATAAAGCACTAGAAAACATGCACAAGTGGGTATAAATAACAAAATGAAAGTAAACCAGAGCCTTCAATATCCAATATGTAACTAATCCATATTTGAAAACAAAACAAAAACAAGCTAGTTTCTAAAATTTGATACAAAAGAAAAAGACAAGAGTACTATCATGGTATTGCATAAAATATAGCCAAGCAAATAAAGTATACTGACAGTGATCATAAGAGTCAACAAGAGCAGGAATCAGCACCTTACTTAATTCTTCTGATTGAATAGCACACTTCGCGAAACCAAAACCAGCTGCAACCAATATCTGACGCAATATTTCAGTCCATGTAAGAGAGTTTAATGAATCCTTCCACAGATCAAGAATAAGAATTTGGCTCTCCACCTGAAAATATCATGGAGAACGTCAAAACCTGTCCTGAAATGCTCCTCTCTTATGTGTTCATGAAAACAATCTAGGAAGGGAAGCATGCAAGGCAAAAATAGCACAACATTAATGCATACCGACTGAAGCAGGGCTAGAAACTTGCATGATATACTCAAATTTGAAAATGATCCCCTTTGCAGCTCGGTTCCAACATCAAGCAGAAGCAGCTTCAGCAGGGAAAGATGAATTTTACCAAGGAGCAACGAATCCTGAGGTTCAAACGCAAGCGCAAAAAGAGGAAATGCAATATGTATTATTTGTCAGAAAGAGAAAACGAGAGTAATAGAGATGTGGAAACAATTTCCCTTCACAACAGAAAAAAGGTAGGAAATTGACCATCTGTATCAAAGACGAGGAATCACCTTATCATGAAATGCTCTTGTGAACTCGTCAAGTGTGAAGGGACATATATCAAGAGTTGCTGAATAAGTATAAAGGAAATGGACAACCTGTCAATAGAAGTACTAAGTTCATTTCCAAGAAAGTCGGCAATGAGAGGTAATTTAAGAGCACATTTAGAAATCACCAACTGCCAACTTTGACAGTTTACACACCTTAAACAGTTTCTTCACAGACTCTGGAGAAGAATTCCACGGATGCAATCCAAAAGGCACCCTCATTTGAACAGAATTTGGTGGAAACTTAGGCAATAAATCTGGAAACAACAAAACACTGTCAGAGAATCACATGGCACTGGTCAAGTAACAAAAGCACTTGAACAAAAACTCTTTCAGGAAGGACTGAACCTAGACAAATGACATACAGACCTTTGCAAAGAAAACAACCATGAGATCCACTATTAGGAAGATGGCATGAACATGTCAACGGATTTGCTCCCTCCTGTCGCTCACGCATCTCCAACTCCTCGTCATCCACTAGGATCGAAATTGTTTGGCAGGTTTCCTCCCCGTCCACGGCAAGCTCACATTTTTCTTTGAATGCCATTAGAGCGTCAACATTGTTTAATTCCGCCTGCAGCAAGAGTCAAATCTCTGTTTGCACGTGACTATATTGAATCACAAGTTTCAAATAATGATCAAGCTACCTCTCTATTTATAGAACACTTCTTCCTTTCCGTCGACCTCTTCTGCAACAGTTTCTGCTTCTGAAGAAAGTAAATTGCAGTGAGCAAGAAGTTTAAGGGAAAAGGCAACAGAAAAAAAGAACGAATCATAATTATGAAAAATAAAGTACCAGTATTGATGCTAATTGTCTTTTGTTTATCTTTTGATATGGGGGATTACGTGCTGAGCTTTGAGGTAATGTTGCTCTATCATCAAATAAATCAACGCAAGGAGATACATCCTTACTATTTCGATTCATTACCCGCCATACTGTCATCAAACCCTTCCCAATACCATGTTTCATCACTGTAGCATTCTTTTTAACGCAATCCTGACTGGTGTGATCCAGCAGCTCGGAAATCTGAAGCAAATTAAGATCAGAGGCTAAGTAACTTAGAATATAGAGGTGATAATACCTTATAAAAGAGCAAGGAAGACCTATCCTCTACCTTTCTCTTTTTTGCCACTCTCTGTTTCTGTTGATCGACAGATGAAGAATCCAGCCAAGAAGCTAGCAGAAGAGAAAGAAGTCCAGGTGAGAATCAACATAACTTAATACGTCATGCAGAAATCAAGACTAGACTTCATCCAGAGTCCAATTCTCCATTCATGGACATTTTTCATTTGAAAAATGAAAATTTATATGAAAGCACTAACTTCATTGCCACAGAATAAAGCCCAGGTGTTCATAGTGCAGATAGGCCAAACTATACCTTTGCGTGCTCCAGATGGAAGACGGTCAAATTCAAAACCAAGCGATGGACCATCCTTCCGAAAAATCTTGGCCAAAATGTGCTGTGAAGTCAACAACTTCTGACAACTGGCCTTCCTTGTTCCCACATTACATCTTTTCTCAGCAGCTTCTCCAAAATTGCATCTGGAAGATGTCGAACTTCTCGTGAGAGAACTATTGTATGACTGAGGATTCTTTGCTCCCAACCCATCATTCGGCAGAGATTTTCCGCCTTTCAGTCTACTTCTTCTCTTGAACCATCCACGTACTTCCTTCACTGTTAACCCTAAAGTTTTACCCAACTCCTCCATTTCCTCAGGAGTCGGATACATTTGACCTGCTTTCACAAATAATGATAGCTATCAGAGACAGAAATAGATCCCAAGGTAGATCATATACAAAAAGCTACCACAAGAGGCCATTTCTAGAGATGTCTCCTACGAAATGATCAAAACCCAAAATCTAATATATCATCAAATTAAGATTCGAAAAAAATAATAATAATAATATATCATCTAATGTATGATACTAAAAAATCAAAAACGATTTCAAACCTAGATAAAATTCCTCAAGAGCTTGAAGCTGCGCTGGCGATTTCCTCTTCATTTCCACTTAAATAAACTCCACAAATTCTCCTACTCTTTAAGGTATCAAAACCAGGCGCATGTTAGTCAATCCGTCTTCAACATTCTGCAACATCAAGCAATCTCCATCAATACACCATCAAAACTGATCGGAAAAAAAACATAGAGCTATCAAACCACAAGAAGATGCGATCAGCACTTGATCTTACACCACTCTAAATACAACAAATCCAAAATTCCCGGAAATGAATTAATACTTCAACCCAAAATCGAATCCGATTGTAAACACAGGATAATCAGAAACAATCACCCCCAAAAAATAGATTACCCAAAGAAGCTTTGACAGTAAAATGGCAACACTACAGACCCTGAGAAGTGATACGACAAAAGTAACAGTGAAATTAGAAGCAAAAGAGGCAAGCAATTCACAAAAACCATTCGAATTGAAGATACCCAAATCTTAGTCTCAGCGAAATTGGTGAAACAAAATCATGATGATGATGGCTGACTAAGAACAGTCACTTCACACCAATAAAAAACAAGAAAACTACAAGAAAAGAAACTTACTGAGAGAGAATGAAGTATAGAGAAATGGAAGAAAGAAGAAGGTAGAAGAAGAGTATGATTTTACAAGGAGAGTAGGGTTTTGGGTTTTTTATCATCTTCACGTCTTTCTCTGAGTCTGGGGTTTTAGTTTACGGATATTTTTTTTTCCCTTACACTCTTTTTTTTTGTTCACTTAATAGCTAAAAATATCTCTGTTCACAATACGACGCCGTTGTTAGTAAGACTCATTAGGGTTTTTCGGGAAAACCAATCTGCCGGTTAAGCCGGTTTTTCAAAATTTGAACCTGATTTGTACTTGATAGATGATAACCTGTAAATCTCGTACCCTCTTCAATTTTGCTTTCTGTTCATTGTTTCCTTCTCAGATGGAGGGAAAGTATGCGGTAGACGAGAAATCGTCAAAATCAGCTTCGACGATTCCAAAACGAGCTTCTATTAAATCCCAATCCGATTTCGATTACTCTACCAGGAAGCAGAAGGTTTACTTCTTGATTCTCCATTCAGTTTCTTGTTTTCCAATACCTGAATCTCTGTTATCTGTTCTAGTAATTTCTGAATTGGATTTTAGAAAAGTTTATAAAATTTGTTTGGTTTCGTCATTACTTGTAATTTTTTCGTAGCTTACATACAATTTTGTCGAAGCACATGGTTCCTTTCAGTTTATGTTTCTTATTTTTACACCTGAATGTATCTGTTACATGTTAATAGTTCTGACTTGGGTTTAAAAAAAATATCAATTTTGCTTCGTTTGAATTTTGATCGTAGCTCATATTTGATCAGAAGGACAGTTTTTTAAAGGTTTTTTAGTAGTTTCTGATTAGTGTTTTATCATTTATGTGTTATTTGGGTGTTTTCTGTGTTATGATTCTTGCTCTTTCTTTTTTTTTGAAATGTAGCTCAGAGAAAGTTGCATTAAACGAGTTAGAGAAGAGAGGACCCGTCTGCTGTGGAAACTGAGGCAATCTGGTTGTCAATCTTCAGATCAAAATGTATGTTTCTCTTTTTGCAGCCTCAAAAAGAAGCTTGATTTGCTTTATCTTTGTCGATAACTTTGGGTTTTATGTTTCAGGAGATTATCAGTTCTGCTTTCCAGGACATTGTTTCTGATGAATTAAAAAAGATCGAGTATTCGTCCAGAAATCCGACTGTAACTCCTGACTCCGATGATATACTATGGGAATATGAAGGTCCAAAAGATGCTCATGAATGTGAAAGTGAAGAGATATTGCTAGAAATGCAGCAGATGTTTTACAAGGATTTGATATCAGACACTACGATAAATGGTAAACCAATTTAGTTTTGTCTGCATGGATTTCTAGTGAAAAGGAATCCGGTTTTGACGTTGAGTTACTTCTTCTTCCAGGATCATATGTTCAGATTGAAACATGGGAAGACGAGGAAGATGATTATTTGGCTAACTTAGTTTCTCAGCATATGCTATTAAACAGTGAACCGGTAGGTTCTCTTCACAGAGTAGTTTTATCTTCTTAAACCTGAGAAAGCAGTTAGATGGTACGATGTTTTTTTGTCAGGAGAAAAACCAGATATGGTGTCCAATATGCAAGCAAGGAGAGCTTATGGAGAATCACCGACATATCTATTGCAACATGTGTGAATTGCAGCTGAACAGAGGCGAAGAGGTGCAGATTTTTTGCCATTTAACTCTCTTTGTTGCTCTCAGCCACACGCACCGAACTTGTCCTTGCATTTTGTTCTCTGATTCCATTCTTTGCAATCAGGTTAACCTGAACATTCTGCATGAACGTTTAGCGGAGGCGCACGCTGAACATCTCGAGAGAGGATGTAGGTTGAAACCCGAGTTCAGTGTGCAGAGTCTCTATAATTTGAAGGCCTTGTACATAACATGCGAAGCTTGTAGTACCTTTGAGGTCGTTGTATAAGATTAAAGTCTAACTTAAAGAAGGATACACATCGTTTTTCCTGTATACAACTCTGGAGATCATTAGGTTAGGCGTGGTGGAATCTTTGACAAGCAATTAACACACAAACTCATCTCTCCTACATGTATGATGGACAGAATTCATTAATTCATCGTTTATTGTGTTGTTATGTGTCTCATAAGTTGTGTTACTAATTTGTTTATAAATTATAAGTATGTATTTTTGCACTATGATAAATTTAACTCTAATTGAGATTGTTGAAGGATCATTTTTTGTATACTATTAGGTGTACTAAAGAATTAACAATGTACCAAAGATCATTCAAAATTATATCGGCCACCACATGTCAGCAATTTTTCTCAAGATTACCCCTCTTTGTGTTGATGAGACTCCACTTGCTTCGTCAATAAAAAAAACTGAAATTAACCGACATCACCACTTAATACAAAGCTGGTTTGAAGATATAACATGGATAATAGCGACTTCCGTCGCCTCTACCTATTTATGACTGTCTTCTTTCAGGGCAATAAATTATCCAGAGGTTTGTTCTTCTTATGTAATAACTGCAGTTTTTTGTTTTGGAAAGTTTTTTCAAGCGTTGTTGACCTGTAGAAGACTGCATAACGGTCCAGGTTATATTCAATCGTTTGTTAACTGTAATGAATAAATAATTGCTAAATACGAAAAAGTTTTATCGACTAATTGTTAAGTTGCCTAAGAGACTTACATTATTTTGTGCAGTGAGAAAAGATGTCTCTGACAGTTCGAGTTGTTCCAGGGGAGTGGAGAAACAAGAGTGATGGTAGCTGGGAGCCTCACCCAGTGATATGATCAAGACCAGCTTAGGAACTGAGGAGATTGAAAGAGAACAAGGAGAGCCTGAACCGGAATCGAATGAAGACCAAGAGCAGCTGAAACCTGAGGAAGCAAGTATAGACGAAGACAAAGACTTGCATATTCCGATTGGTCCAATGACGAGATCAAGAGCAATGAAGTTCAAGCAAGCTTTTCACAAGCTACTACACACCATTCAGGGCAATCTTAAGTGTGCTAATCCAACTACATTGGTTGTGATACAAGCCACTTAAGAATTCATCGAGAGAGGTGTTGTGACTTGTGCTCTTTTTCCCTTCGTTTGGTTTTGTCCCAATTGGGTTTTCCAAACAAGGTTTTTAATGAGGCTTGTTCACAACACTTTTACAAAAGGCCTCTTGATGGAAACTTAGCCCATTTTGTTCACCAGATGCGATTAAGGAAGAGAGGAGCCTATTTTCAAAATTCAATTTAGTCTAAGTCTTAGTCATTGAGTCTTTAAATCGTCTTAGTTGTCTTTGTTATTTCCTATGTGTTCGAGACTCTATATGTATTGCTCTTGTCTTTCTTTCCAATCTATCAAACCTTTTATTTCTAAAACTCTCTCTAAATCGTTTGATCACCAGCTTGAGTAGTGAATTTGGATTATATCCTTTCATTACAAGCACTTTTATTTCTGTTGATAGTCTAAGAGATCTTTCATCTCTCTTAGAAGTATCAAGGCGTTTTCCCCAAGTTACACCATATTTCATCAGTTCATATTCATTCCTTTCATTCCGCAATACCCCAAACCATCAAATTTCGAGATCACAATCGTTGGAGAGTAGTCCAGGGCTTGATCCTCATCTAGGATCATATCAAGTGGTATCAGAGCAAATCTCCAAACCCAGGTTGTGTCCTTTCGTGTTTAACGATTTTATGACTTTTCATATTCTATTTTGATCGTGACGATTTGTGTGACACTAGTCGGATCGTGTTCTCTAGCATCTGATCTCTCTAGTTTATATTACAAGTCATCCAGAATTTCAAAGAAATTTCATAGAGAGAATTAGGGTTTCTCAAAGTCCGATTGTCGTATCATGTTCTGTATCAAATTTGATCAATTTTTAAACTAGCGTGTGTAGTCTTCGAGCTCTTTTACTGATTCTTTTACTTGTCATCTGAACAGGTACAATGGAGGAATCGGCTCATGAGAAAGAAGACCCCGCGAACCCAAGCGGATCGACAAACAAACTTATGATGGACGCTATGATGACTCAAATGATGTCTCTCATGCGGCGGGAGTTTTAAAGTATGAGATCTGACATGGAGAAGATAGTTTCGGACAAACCAAGAAAGAGCAGTGCCCATTCGGCTTCGGAGCAATACTACAGCAACTCCTCTAGAGCTCGTTCATCAAGAAGAAGAGCAAGCGATAGAGAAGAAAGAAAGCCAAGGTCTAGCGATCCTATGGGCAGCCTCAAGCTCACGATTTCTGAATTCAGAGGCACAGCTGATCCGGAAGAGTATTTGGAGTGGGAAAAGAAGATTGAACTTGTGTTTAACTGCCGAGACTACACCACCGAGCACAAGATAATGCTGGCCCCAACAGATTTTAAAGACTATGCCCTAAGTTGGTGGGATAACCTAATTACAACCAGAAGAAGAATCGGAGAAGATCCCATCGAATCATGGAACCAATTGAAGGCGATCATGAGAAGAAGATTTGTACCAAGTCATTACCACAGAGAACTGCATTTCAAACTCAAGAGTTTAACCCAAGGAAGCCGATCTGTAGAAGAATACTACAAGGAGATGGAAACTCTCATGATCTGATATTCGTGAAGACAGGGAAGCAACGATGGCTAGATTCATGGGGGGATTAAACAGAGAAATTATTGATCGATTAGAGGTGCATCACTACGTGGAACTAGAGGAACTGTTGCACAAGGCTATTATGTTCGAGAAACAGCTCAAGAGAAGAAACTATAAACCTAGCTACGGATCCAACAAGCCAAGTTTTCAGAAGGATGAGAAAACAAGTTTCCAAAAGGAGTTTAAGCCATTCTTCAAGTCTAAGGGTGAATAACAGAGCGTCAAAGGAAAAGAAGTGGTGACTACCTCCAGGAATAGAGATATTCAGTGTTACAAGTGCAAGGGGTATGGTCACTATGCGAGTAGCTGTTCCAACAAGAAGATAATGATCATTAAAGAGAATGGAGAAGTGGAAACTGAAGAAGAACAGTCTGAAGATGAGGAACAAATAGAGATGCCTGCTCGAGGAGAACTATTGGTAACTAGAAGGACTCTGAATGTTCAAACCAAGACCGAGGGAAACGAGCAAAGGGAAAAATTATTTCACAGCCGATGTATGGTGCAGGGAAAAGTATGCAGCTTAGTAATAGATGGTGGAAGCTGTACTAACGTGGCTAGTGAGTCTATGGTAAAAAAGTTAGGTTTGAAACTAATGAAGAGGCCGAAACCTTACAAGCTACAATGGCTAAATGAGGCTGGAGAAATGGAGGTCAAAAATCAAGTTATGGTGCTAATACCGATAGGCAAATACCAGGATGAGATTCTGTGTGATGTCTTGCCTATGGATGCGGGGCATATCTTACTTGGAAGACCATGGCAATCAGATAGAAGGGTTATGCACGATGGTTTCACAAACCGTTATTCCTTTGACTATCACGGCAAGAAAACTACTTTGGTTCCCTTAACTCCTCAAGAAGTTCAGCAGGACCAGATCGCTATGAAGAAGAACAAAGTGCAAACCACCTCTACAAACTCTCTATCAACAAGCCTCATGATCACCAAACCAAAGGGAAGTCAACTCCCAAACTATTTACTAGTTTTCAAAGAATGCTTTAACCTAAATATGCCTACGCAGGATATTCCTAGCAAGATAAGACTACTTCTGCAGGAATTCAAAGACGTATTTCCGGAGGAGAATCCGCAGGACTTACCACCAATAAGAGGCATTGAGCATCAGATTGACTTTATACCCGGAGCCTCACTTCCGAACAAACCAGCCTATAGGACTAATCCTTTGCAGACCAAAGAGCTTCAAAAGCAAGTCACCGAGCTCATGAACAAGGGACACATTCGTGAGAGCATGAGATCATGCGCAGTTCCTGTTTTACTTGTTCCAAAGAAAGATGGCAGCTGGAGAATGTGTGTAGATTGTAGAGCCATCAATAATATCACGGTGAAGTATCGACACCCTATATCTAGATTAGATGACATGCTTGATGAATTACATGGTTCTAGCATCTTTTCTAAGGTAGATCTTAAGAGTGGATATCACCAGATTAGAATGAAAGAGGGTGATGAATGGAAAACTGCTTTTAAGACTAAACAGGGCTTATACGAATGGTTAGTCATGCCCTTTGGATTAACCAATTCACCTAGCACGTTTATGAGATTGATGAATCATGTTCTTAGAGCTTATATAGGTCATTTTGTTGTGGTATACTTTGATGACATTTTAATTTACAGCAAAAGCTTAGATGAACATGTGGAGCATCTTAGAAAGGTTTTAGAAGTGCTTAGAAAGGAGACCTTGTATGCGAACTTAAAGAAATGCACTTTTGGAACAGATAACCTTGTCTTTTTAGGTTTTGTTGTGAGTGCAGATGGAATCAAGGTTGATGAGGACAAGATCAAAGCTATTAAAGACTGGCCGAGTCCAAAGTCTGTTAGTGAAGTAAGAAGCTTTCATGGACTTGCGGGTTTCTATAGAAGATTTGTCAAGGACTTTAGCACTCTAGCGGCTCCCCTCACTGAGGTTATCAAGAAAAACGTGGGATTCAAATGGGAACAAGATCAAGAAGAGGCATTTCAAACTTTGAAGGATAAGCTTACTCATTCCCCGGTGCTTTCTCTCCCTGACTTTACTAAAACTTTTGAGATAGAATACGATGCCTCAGGTATTGGTATTGGTGCTGTTCTTATGCAGGAAAAGAGGCCCATTGCATTCTTCAGTGAGAAACTTGGAGGAGCTACACTGAATTACCCTACATATGACAAGGAGCTGTATGCGCTTGTGAGAGCTCTCCAAACATGGCAACACTATCTCTGGCCTAAAGAATTCGTCATTCACACTGACCATGAGTCCCTCAAGTATCTAAAAGGCCAACAGAAGCTGAACAAAAGACATGCTAAGTGGATCTAGTTCATCGAGACTTTTCCATATGTCATCAAGTACAAGAAAGGTAAAGATAATGTGGTAGCCGATGCATTGTCTCGCAGGTATGTTCTCTTGAACTCTTTAGAGACCAAACTGCTCGGTTTTGAACACATTAAGAGTCTATATCCTACTGATGCTGATTTTAAAGATATATATGCTTCGTGTGAGAAGTTTGGTAGTGGGAAATACTATAGAGCTGATGATTTCCTGTTCTTTGAAAACCGTCTATGTGTGCCTAACTCTTCTATTCGAGATCTTTTTGTCAAT